TGCTTTAGCTCTTTGCGAAACTGTCGAATACTTTAAGTGTAGACAAGATGCACATTTGCTGAGAACCTACTGTACATCTAATAACAATTGTTTTAGTGGCGGCAGTTTGCGCCTGGCTCACACTTGCAGCTAACTTTTGAATTTCAGAATTTGCTGGCATTATTGGTGATTCTACCTACGTTTATCTAAATGAATAGGGTGCTCAGGGGCGAAAGCCTGATTACCTTAATAAACTAACTTCAAAAGTGATTTATTTTGTCCGCATACAGTGAAGGGACTGCAGATTTTTAACACGCGACCAAAACAATCTAGCGAACAATATTTCGCGTCGGACCCACTCCCCACCCCACAGACTGCAAAAATATGTCTGAACAGTCGAGCAGCCAGGAATGATAACTCTATTAGATAATCCGAGGGAAAACCTGACGCAATCGGTGACTCGCAAACCCCTCGAGGCCTTGCGTATCACAAACAAAACATTGCTGTTTTCAGCAAAATTCTCTTCTTGAACGCTTTAACTGGAAGTATTAGCTAAACATTTTCTGGAGCAACCGCCTAAAGGCAGAACAAATAAACATCAGTATATCCATTAACACCTATTTAAACCTTGTGAACAAACCAACAAACAACAACAGTTGTCGTATTATTTAGAGCGTGCTCCCTAAGGAGCCAAACTTACCACCGCAGATTAAGGTCTTCCCTCTTGAAATTATCAACTGGTATGGGGTGAGGTACAACCTCAACAAAAATTCACCCACCTTTCTGGTGACCGTGTTAAAGATACACATGTTTTATATGTAAGTTACTTATGCGCCTCCGTCTGGGAAAGAGTGCTGCCTTTTATAGGCATACCTTCTGCAAGAACAATGGCCTCCACCTCACTAGCTTCACAGAACATCGTCTCCTCCGCCTCAACATCCTACTCCTTTGGACGCAGGTTATCAAAGCTGGGATTCGCCCACGATTGCGGCGCCAGCAAAGGTTAGATTACGTTCTCGTCGGGATACGAAATTGACAGGATGCGTTGATCATTAGAGCGAACAGTGCCGCCCACGGTTGAAGGAGTCACCGCGACAACGTCTCTGAGATGAGGCACTAACTGCGACCCCATGGAAGGCCATAAGCATATTTGAACATTATAAACCAATGCGCGCTATGATGCTATTTTTAAATTTCCGTGTAGTTGGAAAACGCAAAATGCATAAAAGAAGTACATCTTTCCATTACGGGTAAAATTATTTCCTAATTTTCCATTAAATATAATGCTCTTCGCAAGAACTTCCAGGAACTTCAAAGCACCGTGTTACTGCCGGTGCAGTTTAAATTTACCATACGCGATACGTTTCTTAACAAATTAAT